CGAAGCCGTTATTGTTTCTCCGGCGTAGGACAACCGTGACACGTACCGATCTTCGTGAAATTCTCGTCGCAAAACGAAGTATAGAAAGCGCAGAAAGATTTACACATTCGATTATCGTCTGGCTTGTTCTACACGATTATTGCCCAAGCGTTATCCCCGCCACTGGACGGGGGAGAGGCGTGGCTCCGCTTTTCTTGCCCAGGCTCGGATTTCGGGCAAAAAACGAATTTACGAGGTTCTGAAGCATTTCTTCCTACAAGATTATAGCAAACCCGAGTTCGGGACAATAATCGAAAGGAGTCTGTATAAACGAACCCCGAGCGCGCTGGATAAAAATTATCGGCACCGTTCGCGCTGAATCCTTAATTTTCTCGTGATTACCAACTGAGGTCGTGCGCGAGGTACAATCGGGAGGTAATGAAGCGTGGAAGCACCGAGACCGTTAAAAAAATGTGATCGACCGCCACCCGCGACTAGAATACTCGGTATTTCCATGCGAAAGCGGACAGCGGTTTAAGGGGGTGGGAGGATTGGGCGGGAACGTCGCCGCTTCGGAATCTCTTCTCTACCTCAGGAGGAAATGGTCGAGACCGAAGCCTTTATTCCTCCTTTTTTCCCAACCCTCCAAACCGGCTCTTTCTCTCCTTTACCGCTTTTTCCACTCTCCACCTCGAGAAACGCGGTTTTACTAAACGAGGACTCGAAGCGTCTTCTAGCCTTCCCCACCTCCTGCACTTCTCCGCCCACGCTATTCAAATAGCGCTCGTGGAACCGTGAACGCTAGTCGGGACGTGCAACGACAATCTGGATCGAAACCGGAAGTCCCGTCGTCGATGTCGGTGGTCATTTCCTTGCGATGTCACCGGGCTTGTGGGAGGGATTTTCACGATCGTCCACGATGACCCCCTATATACGCGTCCCTCGGACGAAAATGGGTCTGCGACAAGCGTGGGTTGATCCCAGACGATAGCCAAATTTTCATTCATGGCACGGGCATAAATATCCACCAGCGCACGGACACACGTCGGAAATAATGTCGTCCTCACCGCGTATAACATTTGTCGGAGTCCGAGAGGCCTACGATCTGATTACTCTAAACTAGTAATCTTTAGTTTAGGTTCAGTTAATATATGGCAGAACCATTCTCAATGGACAATAACCTAAAAATCATTCTTTTTGGTTTTGCAATGTTTTGTACCATGAACATTAATTACCAAACTATATCACCAACGCCACACATTTCTGTGCGAGTAACTAGCAATCTCGAGAGTATCGCCTACAATTTGTCGATGATTCGTAGGTTAGGGACAATTCGCTGGCCAACGAGGAATCTTCTTACGACTGTGATTATTCGTGGGCGTTTCTGGCGCTGTTCTAATTGACCCCGAAATAGACGATCTATTTTCTCGAACGAGCGTTTAATCGCGACTAAAGCGACGAAAAACAAACACGCGAACGGTATAATTTTCAGTCAATATTTTCCTCGCTACTGCGGGTCCATGCCAGGATTATTCCCCCCATCCCCTGCCTGCCTGGCCCGGCGAACAGGCAATGCAAACGGGCTATTTTATTCGCAAATACTTCGGATATTTACGAGCCAGCCACGAATCGGCCGTACACGAGCCTTCGTTCGGTACTTTTATTTCATAGTTCGCGGCACCGCGGATTAAGGCTATGTATACATATACATAGTCACGATATACTATGGCGTAGCCAAAAATTGGTTGGGGGGGGGAGGCCTTGGAAAGGAGGAATTTTAAATGATGCGTCGAAGTGGCCATTAAGCGTGGCTTAGCTGCGTACAAGTCTGGAAAAGGCTTTATGGGAACTGGCGTACTTGTATTGAAAACCGAATGAATGTCTTCAATGTGTTTCGAGAGACAAAAAAAGGATTTATTCCTGTGATTTTACAAGGTTCTATGTAACTGGTACTACAAACGGCCAGCAGGTGATTCAACGTAAAAAAAATAAATCGAAAATATAGAATAAAATTTTTCCGCTTTAGACTCCGATAAAATCGACGTTGAAAATCTGTTGGATACGCGTGCAATTGAATAGGACTGACATTCCGTTTCCACTTACTACCATGAATACAGTATTTTCAGGATTAATCTTCAAAGTCGATTTTCTCGAAAACGAAGTCTCAAATGGAAAAATTTCATTGCACATTTTCGACTTACTTCCTCGCGTAGAAATACCCCCTACCCAGTTGTACCAGCAGTCAAGTGATAGTCTTTATAAATCGTACCATTTCGTTACGATGGAGCATAGTCGGAAAAACGATCATAAGCCACAAAAGAAAATAGTAACGTTGAACAGTTGTACAGTATTAAATAAACGTTGTGTTGTGTAACATTTAGTAATAAAATACTGTTATACCGTGTGGCAAAATGCCACGGCGTAACAATATTTAACATTCAACTCCGAGGAGCCTTCGGACACTCGTTGAAGATTTACTGTATCCGGTTATAGTTGCTTCGAGTGCTTAGACGTGACAATAATCGTTACCGCGGAAGCAGTTAACGTCCGTGGAACTGCCTACAATTGCTTGCCATCGTCATATTAAGGGTCCCGAGTGTCTCTTTGCGAATCGTTTACCCGAAACAATACCGAAACCGTTGCGGTGCTATCCGTTCGTATTGCGCCCGCGATCGTGCCCCAAAGCGCAACAGTCATTGGAGCGTTAGGAATGCAGCAGCTATTTCGACGAGTTGTACAGCGATTTCGATGCAGGAATCCGCCCCGCAACCATCGCGAATAATTACACCTAAGGGCGTACCAACGCGTAGGAATCGCGGCAGTCGGCCGGAAACATGGTTTGCGATCTGAAAAATCGGCGTGCTCGTACATGAATATTGGTTTCATGGAGGCAATCGCTTCTGGGGGATCAGAGAAGGGGAAGATAAAGTGAATTCTAACGATCGGTTCGCGCTGAATAATTCCCCGGATAATCGGCTTACGTGTGGAAAAAGTGAGGCCCCGTTCGCATCCCAAAAGCCTCATTACAGATTGCATCGCGGCATACCACAGGCCTGAGATTTACGCGCGACGGTACCGCCCGTCGTGATTTTTGCAAATCGCCCGTTCATATTCCGTCGGGCACCCAAGGTTATGGCGGCAGATAAGGAACGTCGATTTCGCATTGTCGAACGGAGACCGCTGGATCGGGCGACGATTATCGTACGCGACCACGTCTCGAGATATCGCACCCTTGCGTACTGGAAGGTGATAAAACTCGAGAAAGATGTTTTTGGGGCATCGACGTGAAAAGTTGGAGAAACTGTACACTCGATCAATCATCGAAAGTGTAGGGCAGAAGATGGTAATGACGATTACTTAAGCAATGATTGTAATAAAATCGGGTCATGAGATTTAATATTTATTGCAAGTTATTGTTTAGAAAGTTAAACTAGTGAAGTAATAACTGAGTAACAGAACAGTGACTTTGTTATTTATTAAATTAGCAAATTAAACAGAGAATGCCTTCAACAGCTATTGTCCACACTGGCGGGTAATAGCTGCCATGTTGCGAACAATCGCAGTCTAGAGAACACCTAATGAACTCATAGACTACGTATAATTACCTATTAATTCATTAATTATGTTAACATTATAATAAATTGTGTTATATGCAAAGTACAACATTGGTAACATGTAAAAACAAAAAACCTTTGTTATTTTCGAATGCGTAGCAACAACCGAGCTGGGCTGTTTAGGGACGCAGCAGAGAATGTTACAATAAGTAATAATAATACAGACCTCCAGTAGGTACCCCATTCTCTTTCTTTATCTTCTAGCTTCATAAGTTGGATAGCAAAGAGCAGTTATATCACTTTTACTGTTCGGACTGAGACTCTGGTTTGTCCTTTTGCATTGTTTGTCCCATTAATATTTTTGAGTACCGTTATTTTTGTAACAAAAATACTTTACGTTTTTATCGCACAACGTATGTTTCGTCCAACGGGGAATATTAGTATGCTCTACGTAATGTAGAAATGTTGAGAAAATGTGTCTACATGGTACCTGAGAACTGGAAGACAAAATTTGCACAGTTCACAGAACCGTGAATAGTTAAATTATTCTTTTTTTAATTCCGAATAAAAACGTATGAAAGGGCAACGTGCGGACAGCACGCTGCGCCGCGTACTTTGCAGAGACCCGGCACCAGAAGAAAAAGTACGCGACGAGCACGACGAATAACCTGGCTCCGAGCCAGAATGAGTTTCGAGGCTAACGACATTAGAATATTTGTCGCGTAATCCGACCGATCGGGAGCACATTCTTGCGTAGAGATTCGAACAATTTACTTCCTGCGTTCACGTTACGTTTTCTTCTGTACAGAAGATCAAAGAACGTCGGTTCGAACTTCTGACGCGATCGGAAATCAGCTACGATTCTCTCTGCGAACAGTTCCACTACATATATCGAATTCTCCCAAGATTCTTCCAAAAATCGCGAGCTCGTTTCTATTTAAACAACATCTAGGGGAAAGGAAGGCATGATGGGGAAGCTAATGAAAATGAAAATAAAATGATAATTGTACCTTTAAACTAAGTCTTTATGAATAACAATAAAATTATAAGTTAACAGTCTAGTATTTGGCACATATTTTGGACAATACAAAGTCAGACTTTTAAGTAATTAAGCTTTACAAAAAAATACGAAATCCAAATAGACCGTAAACGTACAAACTTCGGCTTCCATTAAGGGAAAAAGTGGCGTAAGGGAAGGATCTCCTACCACTTAGTATCGGGAATTATCGAAATTTATGCCAAATTAACATTCGCTTTAACAGTCACTTCACTACTTGGAATAAATTTTGCTAATTCCTAGGAAGCCATTTTCCTCCGCCACATTTCCCTAGCGGAAACCGAGTTTGCTCGTGAAGGCACAAGAATCCAACGATCGATCGTTTCTACGAAAATCAAGGAACAGACAGAATCTACCGCCGGTTTCTCCCAAGTCAGCCTCTAACACGCGTTTCATTTCTCTCGTTTCAGCTGACACCGGTATGCTGCTGAAACTCGACTTTCGAGACGAGTTCAAGCTCGAGGAGAGCACCGACTGCCGTTACGATTTCCTCGAGGTACGTGACGGGCAGCACGGCTACTCCAATCTCCTCGGGAACTTCTGCGGCACGAATTTCCCCCCTGAGATCACGTCGAAGACGAGATACCTCTGGCTGCGATTCCACAGTGACGATAGCATCGAGGGCAAGGGATTCAAGGCCGTCTGGAGTATGATACCACGACCGACCTCCCGTAAGTCCCGCGGATTTACGATCCCGCCGATCGGTCCGTCACGTTCGCCCCTGGCATGCCGTATGAGATTCTCCTGGACCGACGAACTACGCGCGGCGTGACACGGGAATAGACCACAAATTCTCGGAAGTATTCGCCCGATGTTGCTGCTCGGATCGATAAACAAAGTCGATCCTCTAACGCTCGTGAGATCCTCGCGAGAATGCGGGATGAGATTAGACCTGAGGCACCCGGGAGTTAGAGGACAGTTCCATTTGTTCGCGCGATTTAGATGTAAACTCGAGACACTGGTCGACTTAACGTTCCGGTAGTAGGTATTGCGTTTCTGGGCAGATTGGCTTTAAATAGTTTACACGATGAACCTCTTTTGTAATCGACGTAACTGAATTTAAGGGAAGTATTTTAGATAGATGTTGAATAATAATTGTAATGTTGATCATTTGGTCTTTGAGTACCTGGCACTTTTAATGCTACAGATTAAGTTACGTTTTTTTAACCCGTTCTTTCTCATTGGTGCCATACGGCTACGTATTCTAAATTACGAAATAAAATGTTAGTATCGTATATCATTTCATACCTCTGAGTATAGAGGGTGTTAATTTTAACTCGAGCACCTAAATTATTTCCGTGACTATTGAAAGTAAGAAAAAATGACTAAATAGGATGTACGTGGTTTTAAGGCGTGCTTTTGATGGTGATAAAAAAATCTTGTGAATGCCATTATAACGATTTTTTCAAGATCATCGTATTTTTTTTACATATTAACATGTATTTTTTATAACGCGATGTGGTAGTCGGGTCAAGATGAGTTCAATGAACTGCATGACCTTGGAGTGACCTTGTAGGCGAAGAAATCAGCTTCAGTTTGAAGAATGCAGAAGTAAATAAACGTAATAAGTAAAAAACATTTTATCACCATCACATGCACGCCTTAAAACCATGTGCATCCTATTTAATAATTTTTCTTACATTAAATAGTAGCAGAAATAATTTAGGTGCTCGAGTTAAAATTGTATAATAGTTTGTTCTGGGCGTGATAGATCGCATGACACAAATTTTGATATGCTCTTAAAGGCTTGTCGGTAAAATGAGTTTTATTGCCCTTTGGTTCTTGTATTTGCTGGAATCCATGTGTTGAATACTGTTAACAATACAATAAGTACTTATAAAATCACATACTGAAATGTCAATCGAAATTGCAATGCAAACAATCGATTACGCAACGAGACAAAAATTTATAATTAGGAACCCCACACAATGGAACTACGTGTAACAAAGGTGTTGCCAGTACTTTCACTATGCCGCGTAAAAAAGACGATTTTTAAGATCAGGTAAAAGAAGAAAGTGCCTCCGAGAGGGAAGAATAACGCTCGTTATTAACGTTATCCGAGGAGCGGCTCTATCGCCAGTACTTGGTAATGCTCGTCGCGTTCCCGGTTGAGAAATTACGAGACACTTTTGGAATAGATGATCCGCACGCGGCAAGTAAGTACTGTGCGAGCACGGATGGTGGCCAAAATTAATTCATAGTCGCACTGGAAGAACAGTGGGGCGGGAGGCTATGAATACACGGAACACATCCGCAGCCATCGTGCCGTTTCCATAGATCTTTTAGACCTCGTCTTTGGATCGGGCTGCCTTGATCGTTTCAATTGTAGACGACCTATGGGGATCGCGATTTCCCTCGCGTGAACACGACGTTGTGATAATCGTTTAACAATTTGCGGTCCACGATTTGTATCCAGGCGAAGTGAAATCTGATTCAAAGAAATTGCTGCTGTAATGGCAACCTGATACAAAAACAAGTATCAAAGTTAATGTTTTTAAACGTTCTTTTTATCGACAGACTCAATAATTTTTAATGTTTGCACTACTTGTTACACTAACAATTCCGTGAACTATACCAATTTTGTTACACCCTGTAAACTAGGTACAGAATCGTTTATGCATCGAACACAAATATACATACTTTTATTCTTTCAAAGAACGAATCGAACCGGAAATTCGTTATCGTATCGTGTTAGGAAACGGCGAAACGTACTTAATGCGAAGGCCTTTCCCCTGCAACGTTTCACTTCGATAAACGCATTCACAAAGATCAATCATTTTCCATTGCATTTAGAACGAAATGCGGATTGAATTCGATATCCTGTCCGCTCGTCATTCACTGCAAACTCCAAAGACTTTGAATCGTTGATGGACCATTCGAAGCGTAACACAAACTCGGATAAACGGCATTAACGGCACTTTCGACGTAACCCTCATCCGTTTGCAAGGAAGGGGATCCATGGAAACGCATTTAACCCTTTCGATACTATGGACAATTACAGTTGCTCGCGACGAAGTAACACTACCGTGTACATTAAACAGTTCTTGAACCGTTGAAGTAGATTTAATATTAAATTTGATTGCGATTCAGTTCCTACTAAACATTTGGTTTTTTATTTAGAGATTTAATATTTATAATTTAATATCTTAACGTACGAGGAAGCCTTGTCATCTTTTGTATTGCTCCAAAGTATCCGTGGAAATTTAACTATTTATCTGTTTATTGTATTGATTTCTCACCATTGGGTCAATTTGACACCGAGGGACAAATTAAGTTGGAAAAATTCGGGAAAGATGAAGGTTAAACTGTAAAAGTAGATGTAATATTAAATTTCACTGCAATTACGTTGCTATAAACGTTAATTTCCTTATTTAAATATTACTTACAATGTAATATCTAAACGCACAGGGAAGCATTGTCAGCTTTAATATTGCTCCAAAGTGCCCATGCAGTTCGTGCGATCATACCGTGTAAGAATCGAAAAGGTTAAGCAGCAAATGCGATTCCAAAGAGGAGATTCGATGAATCTCACGACCCTACACCTCCGATAACCGTACTTCTCTACCACCTCGTGAAGTACACCAACGAACGAATACATACTTAACCATTTAGCGAGACTCGAGGCGAGAAACGCGCCTGTAATCGTTCCCTTTTTACGATCGAACGCGTCCACGAATCGGCCTCGTCGATGTTCGTTCCCCGTCTCCTACGATGTGAATCGATGACGCGTCAAGTCTGGTAAAATACTTTGCGGGCGTACCGTGACAGAGACGCGTTACATTTCACGGGACCCAGTAAATTTTCACGACTTCTTGGCTGGGGCCAATACACGTCACAACGTCCCGCGTTCTCCCTTCCCACCGGCAGTCGAAACTCCGATACGTACACCAGTTCGGAGTGACGCGTCTACGAAAAATTCGCCTCTACCCCCTAGGCGTTTCGTACGGCTCATTATTCCGCCACGTTTCCGGTTTTCCAGCTTCGAATACCGTTCCTCTTAAGCGCACCACGTTCGACCGTTGCCGTCACAGAACGATAAAACAGCGTCGTTGTAAATGTAACGGGGGACGTATCGGTTCAGGATGGAGAATCTGTTTTGCTCCTTTGATTAATTCCACCGACTGGTTTTATTCTGTCACGGCCAGGGAATTTTACAATGACAATTCGGAACGACTACGTGGAAAATTGTTGTATACAGAACAATGGTAGAAAAGTGGACCATTGATTCTTGGAGAAACCACGGTGAATCGTTGAGAATCGAAACGGTTTGTACGGGGGCGAATGGAACGTGGGAGTTAATGTCGTTGGTAGGAAGCCTGGGGGAAGTTGTATTACAATAGGTATGATTCGTAGCTGGTGTGCCACCGGAACCGGAGCCGTGCGTGAAATATGTGACCGGCATGGAGGCGGTTATTAACAGCGACGACGTTCTGGAGAGGAAGAAACTCGCGGAGAAGGAGGGTATCCCGTTGGATTGCATGTGGAACATCACGGTGAAGGAGGGATGGAAGGTAAGACAGCTTCTATTACGTAGAACTAGACGTTTTTCTTTGTCGATATTGGGGAACTTCGTGATCGTAGCCATTTTTTATATTTGACTGTACACAGGGTGTCTCATCCGATTTTGACATCTTGATTTTCTCGTTATTGTTACTCGTAGCAAAAAATGTTTCAACGGAGCCTTGAATGGTATCGAGTGGAGCATATTCTGATGTTATTAGTTTTTTCGTAAGTAGACGCGTAAAGGTCATATAAAGGTCAATTTTGTTTTTTTAAATGGAATGAGGTATTTTTTAATACATCAGTCGATGTAGCTGGACATTCGTTATAAAAAAGTTCTAACCTATACATAGGTATAGTATATGTCGAAAAGTTAGTAGTTCAGGAGATATTTCAAATTAAATAATTCTAAATCACCATTACTGTCGTACTTTATTACCATTCCTGTAAATAAAAACAATTCGAGTAAATAAAATTCTGTCAAAAATAAGCAAGTGTCTGAATTCCTTTGAAGATCATTGTACGTCTGGCGACACATCTGGCAATTTCGCATAGTCTCTGCAGTTCAGACTTTATTTTTAGCGTCACCGATTAAAGAAACCGCATTCAACGCGACGGTTCGTGCAACTAAAGCGATCCTTTGGCAGAATTTCTTTAATTCCAGACATCCCATGGAGACGTTCTTTCTTTCTCTCTCTCTCTCTCTCTTTTTCTGGTCAAATGAGATCGCCGTCCGGCGACGATCTCGAAGTTCCCCTGACAAAATATACCGTCTAATTGGCACGAGTCCTTTGAGCATAACCTCCCCCCTCTGGTTCATTCGCCGGGAGAAGAGGTTCCGGCCGTCGTTCACCCGCGGGCGCGCACGTACAACTTTCAGATTCAGCTGACGTTCTCGGATCCCTTCAAGCTGCAACGACCAAACGAGTGCGACGCCAACTTCGTGGACATATTCAAAGAACGCACTGACATGTCATCGAGAGAGAAGAATTTCTGCGGCAGCATCGCGGACACCGTGCTCCTCACGACCAATATCGCCTTTGTCAGGTTTTACGCCGAGCCGAAAGCGTTGAACAGCAGCTTCGAAGCCGTGATGACAGCGCTCAGGGACAGAGACCAGGGAGACAAACGTGAGTTCCCAGACGCCCTTGATTAATCGTTTCAGCCCCCTGTACAACTCGTACGCCCTTCCCCTCTTTGTCTGGATTGTTCCATACGAAACGGTAACAACCTTCGAATTGCTTTAGGCAATGAAATTTTTTATCCGAACTTGGACAAAGAATCCTTTGAGTACAAAGGTAAAACGAAAATATTGGATTGATCCATAAGTTCGTGCGGTTTTGTCGTATATGGAAAATTCAGATTTTTCTTTGTAAAATATTTAATATACGAGTTAATTTACGATGTATTTTTCAGTATTATTTACAACGTTTTCCCAACGTTCCAGGAGGTTCTGAATTTCTCGCTTAAGAATGTTCCACGGTTTCTCATGCAAACCAATCATAACACATAGATTACAGACGATTATTACGAGATGCATTCAACATGAAATGAAAGCCGTACGAACTTATGTACCAACCCAATAGATAGCATCCAGTGAAAATACTGTCCAGCAATTAGTGATTAACATTTCAAATCCAAAGTATCGTCTCTTCTTTTGAGTGGTAAAAGTGGCGTGCAACGCTAGACAACAACGGTAAATACTATCGTGATGGTACAGATTTCCTTCAAATTTCCTTACAACAAGAACGACAGATAACTAATTGAGTACACAGTTGTGTGGACCCAAAGGACAGAAAATTGCTTCAAATGTCTCCAAAGACATTCGTCCAAGTTCGTTCCAAGACCACGTCAGGCAGTCGCCTCGAGCTATCACGGTGCCTGGCGAAAAAACTTAATCGAACGCGACAGGGTTCAATCTTAACTGCAATTTCGTTTAAACGCTGGGCTGCTCTAACAAGTCACGGTTTCGCGCCTGCCTCGGGACTAATAACGCAACTTTCACCGACGCAAAAAGCCCGACGCGCGAATAATGGGAAACGGCCCGCAGCCCCGTAACACGAGCGGCAAAGCACAAGGGGACTACCCTCTCCCGGCTGGATATTGTCTGGTTGAATAAAGTTGTTAATTAATTACCATAAAACGAGCTCTTTGAATACCGACGGGAGAAAAAAAAAACTTATCGAACTCGCGATCTGTGCACGTGCGAGCTCCCGCGGACAAAAGACCGGATAACCTAATTATATTATATTTTCGAACGATCCCCGTCCGCGCACACGCGATAGTAGGCCGAGGGGCGCGGATGGTTAATTGCCGTTTCATTCGCGAGCTGGGGTTGAGGGGCGTCCCGAACGAGAAACTTTAATTTCCATTACAACGGCGCACGCGAATACTTCGAGAGTCTTTGTCCACAGGCTAATTGCGACGTTAAGTTTCATTAAAGTTAACATTGACGCAGCCCGAAACGTTGCTCTGTCCTCGGGGATAGAGGGGCACGATCTAATGGGAATCTACTAAATTAACATCGTTCCCCATGCTTCAACGATAATTAACAAAAGGGAGAAAACGAAAGAAGAGGACGACCATCCATGGCTATTAGGTGATTGTCGGGTCTAATCACCGAAGAGACAAAGGGACATTATTTTCCAGCAAAACTCGGAGTATGGATGATAGAGAGTATTAAAGAGTTGGAACGACTCGTAATGGCTAGTTTTGTAACATACGTTGCAAGTGGTATGCAGAGTGTCCCACGCAACTGGAACAGGCTGTACCTCCTAAACGGTTGGGAATAGAAGATGTTATAAGTAAAAGTTAAATGGTATCAGACTATAAAATTAGTTGCATATTATGCACCGACTGATACCATTTAACTTTTATTTATAACATCTTTTATTCCCAATCGTTTAGGAGGTACAGTCTGTTCCAGTTGCGTGGGACACCCTGTATAATGACTTATTATCTTCAAATAAGTACACAAATTGTAATTTTGTAGTAGGTTTAAAGTTCCATTTTTAAAATTCTTCGTAATGAAACTCTCTATCGATCTCTCCAGCCTAAATTTTCAATTTCGTTGCTCATTTGTTTATATTGACCGGAACATATGCAATAGTTTTAAGATGATCAGTATTCGTAGGCTTTTTAGACTCTGATTTTCGATATTCAAATATGGCAACGCGAAATTTCAGTGAATGGGATTATTTGGATGAAACTTAGTGTGTATAGATTGTTTTGGATAATATATACAACCCACAGAATATAATACATATAATTATAAACAAACGAACAACGAAATTGAAAATTTAGGCTAGGCAAATCGATAGAGAATTTCATTACAAAGAATTTAAAAAATAAAGCTTCAAATTTATTTACAAATTACGATCTGTAGATTGATTTGAAAAAAATAAGTCTTTATGTACAACTGTGAATACCTATGTAGTCATGGGGTTAATAGAGTCGCGATGTACAACAGAGAATCGATTCATCACCGGGACGGGGTTACTGAGGAAACAAGAACCATGAGGTTCTTCTGCACGGAAAATGCGATTTTATTCCGGTATAACAGATACCGGAACGATGGAAGTTCCGTATCGAACATGGGAAGCCTCGAGCAATTTCCTCGTAGAGTATTAAAAATAATTCCTTTCTCGCAGTAAACAAAATATCGTTGCTATTCGAAGGACTTCCATCGAGACGGAGCATCGAGTGATCCTACGTACACAGAAACAGATTCGTGGTTACGTGGATTGTTTTAGCTTCGATCGACCCTCCACAAATTGGACGCCTTAAAACAAGTTGGAGAAATAATTATTTTCCTAGACCTATCTCGCGGTATTGTTTAACCTTCCTAGACTAGCGTGTCAGCGCCACAGACCAATGAAATCGGAATTCGTTTTGTTTTTTTAGAAGCAATTGATGATAACACCTTGCCCTACCTTGTAGCTTTCTAAATAGTTCCTAATAGTTTCTCTTTTCCTAGTCATGTTATGTCGAGTATACTCATTATGAAAAGATGGCATTTATTTGTTTAATAGAAACTTTCACGATATTAAAAATTGCGTAGGACAAAAAGTTTTTACCACATTTTACAATATTTTACTATAAAAGAAGAATTATACAAAGAAAAAAATCACTTTAAAAAAAGAAATATGCAGCAGTATACATATATGAGAGCTGTTGGATTCTTTTTCTCTTTTGGACAAGAGAAATTTCGCCATTTTATTAGAATTAATGTCAATTTTATAGCAAATGCGTTTGCTCTCCTTTCGTCGAATATACTCGTCATAGCTTAAAAATAATTAAGCACACAAGTGCACGTTTTCCAAACTAAATAAAACGTTTAAAGTGTTAAAAGCCCCCTGCGTCGACCGAATCATTCGCAACCGATTATACACGAACGAGATCGTATTCTCGATCCCTGACTCTGTATCGTGAGAGTCCAATGCCGATAATTGCAACGACACCGAAGAAAATGAATAATCTACTTAACAATTTAATATTATCAAGAATAATCAGTCGCGAAATGATACGAATTCGATATTAATGGCGTCGATCCTGCGCTGAATGGTAAATGGAGTAAACTTGGGGTTTGTGCGGTTAGGAATTTCCGCCGTTCTGCCTCGGCAACGGGAAGAATTCTTGGTTCTCCGCACCTATCATCCGCCGTGGAAACTAATATCTTACGAGCGACTTGGATCCACGGACTCGGGGAAAATTCACTTGCTACACACCCCCTATCTCCCGTGCGATAAGATTTTTAATGGGAACTCTTGTGGGCCGCCGTGGAACGCGTTCGCACCGCGAGAGATCAGGGCCGACAATAAATCGGAAAGTATAAACCGGCTATAAACCCTAACCACCGCCGGGGTATTCTTATCGCGAGAACCATTTAATCCGTACGAACCACGCGGCGGTCATACACGGAAATAATAGCAGCTCTTGTGTCGGAAATCTGCATTAAGCGTCGAGTAATTATTGTGATGCCTGGTGATTAAATTATACGAATGTAATACGGTAATAAAACGGCTTTAGTACGGTACGGGTAGTAGCGATACAGAATGAAACATTGATGGTTGAAAAACGATAGGGGTTGTAGAAGCGTTGAACATTGTCATGTTTAACGTTGTCACGTAAACGCCCTAGAGGGGTGGGGCTCCTCGAACCCACACTTCTTCTTAGAATTAAATTCTTTAAAAATTATTTTTTGACGAAAATTTTATAACATTCGAGTATATTATACGTCGCAAACAAGCTAGCACAAATAACAGATTATTGTATTTCACGCACCGTGAAAGTTTTGAAACCGTCCCGGGTTTCAAACTCTCATGAAGTATTTAATGTACATTGTAACTTATCTTTAAACAAGGAAACTACCGTTCAATAGAAACGTAATTGCAATGAAATGTAATGTTACATCTACTTTTGCAGTTTGAGAACTGCATTTCAACTTAACTTGTCCCTCGATGTAAAATTAACACAGTGGTGAAGAAATTAATATAACGAGGAGATAATTTGTTCAATTTACAAATTTTCGAAAATAAAAGTCACAGAACTTTACATTTACCTACATATAGCAGAATAAAATTATTGCTTAGGAAACAAAATGTGTCAAATGGACACAAGGGACTGATAACGGTTAATGTACAGAGTAGTGTTACTTCGTGGCAGACGACTATGATCGTCCACAGTGCACGGAGGTTACTTTGAAGCAATCAACTATGGTCTTCCATAGTGCCAAAAGGGTTAAACCTCTTATTGTCAATATTATATTTCGAGACGATATTTTGTAAGATGTACTCAATGATCCCTCCAGTGATTCGTCACAATGTCCTCAGTTTACGAATTTCCTTACCAGCGATACGATGGGAAAATGAAAAGATACACATATTATACGACGATGCAACGACCATCGGCGTTCGTATACGCCTGACGACGCGATCAATTTAAATTTTATCCGTTCGTTTCTCCTTTTTCTTGTTTGCAGCGTGCCGCGATGACGAGTACTATTGCGAGGACGCGACTTGCATCGCGGCGGAATTGCAGTGCAACGGAAGGGTCAATTGCCGTTTCCGGTGGGACGAGGAAGACCAAGCCTGTAACGTGAGTGAGCGAACATTATGTCGAGACTAAATTCAATACCGTCGCTTTCCCGGCCCCGTTAAATGTTTTCCGATTTCCGGGCTCGAATCATTTCCGGGACCGTTCTTCCGCACGCCTCCCCCTGACACCCCTTCTTTCCTCTAAAATGGCACCCGTTAACACAACCATGAGGCAAAGATTGTGCTCGTTATCAGTCAACGAGCAAGCATCGCGTGCAACTTCTGGCGTTGCTTTATGTATATTTCCAGGGAAACTCGGAAACTGCTGCAGATCTTGGCGAACTTTCGGAAACTGTAGTATAGGAACGGTAAAATGGATCTTTAATAGAATGTCTTCGTTTGTCATTCTAACTGCTGTCGCTAGCGGTGCCATTCGGCCGTGTGTTTCCTTGTAGTTACTTGGTCTGGGAGAGACACTTTAAAATGCAACCGTAATGCCCATGTAGTAATCTGTTTAGAAATGCAACGACGATGGAAAGTGCTTGAATGCTAGGTTGTACGTCACGACGAATGATCGAAGTAAGCGAACGTCGGGAGTACACGGTACCTGACAGGGAAGTTGACATGCGTTCGCAGCAGTTGGTCCTTGTATCTTGCGAAAACGTCAGCGTTTCCTGTTCGGAATTATCCTGGCTTTCCATTTCTTAGCGCCAAATCCTGGAGGTGTGGGGGGAGGGGGGTGGACCCGGGATATAGCACCGCCGCAAGAATGGCACGTCGCCTAGACTTAATCGCTTTCCACCCTTTCGCGTTGCCTCCGCCTATCCCCTTGGGGGGTTAATTAATTTATTCGACGGAAGTTCACCTCCATCTAGGAGCCGAGCCACTGCTTTCGCTATATTTAATATGTACGTCGACGCTTTGCGCGTTAGTCGGTAATAAGACGCGTTACTGTCTTCTTATTGGGTTTCCGTGTATACTCTCTTCTTGGGCGACATTGTCAGGATGGAGGTATTCGATTCCTCCTTACCCTGCAATTCTCTTCCCTTTCCTTTGGACAATATACTAAAATAATATTATCTGCACAAAAATTATTATCAATTTCTTATAAGTCTGCAAAAGTAAATAGAGAAAAGAGGAAGTTTGCTCCCTTTCGTAGTCTCGTAAAAATCAACGAAGTTGAAAGTTCCGAACGCGAAACGGTATAATATTGTCTCCAAGCTGGACGGTTAGAAAAACTCGCCACCGATCTACAGTAAATCCTCGATGAATATTGGAAGGTTGCTCGGCACTGACAAGTCCCCCATGTATAACGCTGACTTTTTAATGAGGTTTAGCACAGTGTTTGCAATTCTGAAACGATTGATTTTTTGTTTCAACCGCATATGGCCATTAGTTTATGAAATATTTAATGTTTAATGCCGAGGAGCCTTCGGACACTCATCGAAGATTTACAGTATATCGAAGCTCATCGTGTCCCAATGAATTTCATCCGACTGTTCCCTTAATATCCCATGAACTGTGGCTCGTTTGGAATTCGGGTTCTATTTAGAAAACCACCGGATCATCCGGCGTGTAGAACCCTAACGGTGACTCCCAGTTTTTCCGTCTCTGTCTCCCTCGGTTTGCCAGGTGGGCAGTTAATTAATTTATTCAGGAGTTTTCCTTTGCTGGGCCCCCAACCACTCGCTTCTCCGTTTGCCTGACCTCCGACTCGCGGTTTCGTGATATCCGATTGCGTATCGTCCCGCCGTGCGGGACGGTGTTTCCGGTTCCGGGGGCGGCAGCGGCGGTGGCGGCGCAGAATAGTATGCCCTTTTGGCAAACTACCAGAACAAGCCACCTCCGAAACGACGACGGCACCGTGGCACCGGCGGGATATTAATCTAACGGGGAAATAATGCCGGCGATATGCTACCGTTCGATTGCGTCCTTGTTTCGTGCGCGTGAATCGCATTGACGGAGTTCCAGGAAACTAAAATCGGCGTGTTACGAGTGCGTTTCCCTTTAATCAGTACATAAGAGAGTCGTTTCGTCCTTGCGTGTCGGGTGTCTAGGGAAATAAATTGGATGTGAGTGGTATATTAAAATCTTCGACTCGTAGTTTGAAGCATTAACAAGGGAAGGAACTTAATTGTCCTACTTCTATTTTAACAGGATTTTGTAAGATGAGGGTATGCAGGTTCCTAGGTGATATATGTGAAATATTAGGTGTAGACACTTTATAATTTTAAAGATATTTTTTAAGGGCGATTCATTCACCCCGCAGATTCCGATTTTAATGAAACTTTGTGGGATTGTAGAGGACATTGAGTTAAGTAAGGAACAATTCTTTTTTCGGCCGACTTTCACTTTAAGGGGTGAGACATTTCTGGTCTGGATTTCATGGTCTAGACGTGAAAGGTTTAAACATTCACATCTACGAGACACACCTGAACCATGCACCCTTGGCTCTCGAACTGCGCGTACAATCACAGAATCGCTATCACCCAAAATCCAGTGCAGACACACGGAAATTTTACGCACCAGAACGAACATTTCTCATTCACACATCGTTCCCGTGAATTTTTCATTCGACGACAAGCATTTCCAACCACTAAAGTTCCCATACTCTCACATACCACAGGTGTTCCAAAAGGTTCGATCAAGCCTCGGTTCGATGTCGTTTCCTTTGTGATCCAATTCGATTTCGTATTTCCATGAAAAACGTTGATGGCAAGGAATCCGTTCCCAGTGAAGACACAAATTGGTCAATTAACCTGACGATTTTGTATCTCCTTGTATCCTCCACGGCAAAGGGAAATACCATGGGGATGGAGTGGCTCGTTAAGGCCCGGTCGAAGGAACAGAAGCGACAAGAATCCGGCCTCTGTCGGGGAGCCTGAATCATTCCTTCTTCCGAGTCAAACGTCGGGACTCAAAGAAGTAGCCGTAAATAATGTTCACCGTGCACCCTCGACGGACAAAAGGGAAAAGAAGGCTTCTGTTTAAACCGCAAAAAACGGGCGAATCTTTGCGGTCACTGGTTCTCCACCGATATTCATCCGTTAAGATCGCGAGCTTCTTTTCCTCGGGCAAAAGGCGGCCGCGGGCTAAAGAGGTTAACGCTGGAGAAACAGACGTTCCAGAGGGAATACCTTTGTGTCTGCACGATTTATCAGGGATAAGAAGCAGTGCACAAAGGCTTGTCTTTCCAGTTTTACCGTGGCGAATAACATTCCCAGATTTCTAATTCGGTTCTGTAAGACGGCCTCTATTCGCTGCCGCGTATCGAAGCTCTTACATCGGATGAATGGCGCCGCCCTGCTTCGCTCAAGAATATACCCCCATAACTGTATATCGATAGCTTTATCGAATCTACCCCCTCCCCCAGTCATGTGCGCCACTCCACATAAATTTATCTCGGGGGCTGTCGCGCGGAATCGACGTCACGGTCGCGGTGAAGTTTCCGCAACTTTTCCTCCGGTCTTGGACCGCGACAGGCAAAACCGTGACCGAGCGGCGTAAAAAATGATCGCGACTCTGCTTCCTTTCCGGGGAATTGAACGGTCGGGGGGGAAACGGGAATGATGTATTCAGGCTCGTTTGGAATTAATTTCGATTTGTAGCTTCGGAGGAAGTGCTTGTTTTTCTGGACCCGGGAAATATTGGATCGATGGCGTAACGATATAGTTTGGTACAGGATGTAGATACCATAGCTAGTGTTTGAAAGTTAATTATTGACAAACTAATATTACTTGAAAACTTACTTTATATAGAATAATAGAATTAAACATGTACCTGGTAGTAGTCGTAGATAGATGTATCTATCTATTTTCTATTGAGTAATGACTTCACGTCATCATTGAGCTTTTTTTAATGAAAATCTCATGAAGCCTCTTATTACGGAATCCGACGTAATAGGAAGCATATGAACATTTTCCATTTATAATTAAGATCAAACAGAAAACCACATATTAATTATACGTATTAGGCACTAATGCATCAAATTACACAGCAATTATTAATTTACAAAGTAATTTTTTTTTAATTTTTGTCCTATTTTTTATAAATATCGACCACTGTGCGACGTACTCGTTTAGCGCAGCAGTTTCTTCTAATTCTTTCGAGTAGTGTAGTAATTTTTAAACAAATTTAACAACAATTATAACTGAATTCAATTTTAAACCAGATTCTAATTTAATACCTCAACAATTTATTAGAATAGTATACGTGTGTTAAAAACTACCTTTTCAACCTAATACACCTGACCGTACTAAAACTGAAATTAATTAAAACTCCTGTATTTTCCCTGTCAAGGGCGACGAATTGTCTCCAGTTATGAACAACGTACAGTCCCATATGCTACCTATTTCTGTCCGTTCACTGTGTCTTTTACTGCTGTCAGTGGACCATCCGCCGTGTCTCACGACTGCAATAAGGCAGGCGAAAGGTAGCACGATGTACCTGGCCTTCTCCCATGTGGGCCACGAAATTGACGATGCAGACATAGAACGCAGTACGAAATCGTAGAACAGCATTGCCATACCGTGCGGCCCTATCCAATTTTATTCCTGTCGAATGGAAAGCTCGCCCGTTCCGCTTACCTCGTGCTCGCAGGTAAATGTTAATGAGAACCGGACGGCGCGAGGAAAATCACGATGGAAAAAACAGCCGGAACATCCGTGGACCGTGTACTCGTATAATATTATACAAAGCGACGCACGCAATCAGCCACATCGCTGGCTTCCTCTGAAACGAACTTATTCGCGTTCGTATTCTCTTTTCACCTTCCGAACCGTAGAGAAGATGAGAAACTCTAATGTGCAACAACGCCGGATCGTATGAAATTCAATGGATTGCTTTTATGGGAAATGAGTATTCCTCTGAGGGATAGGACCGCGGAATTTGTAATAGGAAAGTCTACATTTCGTTGCGTGACTTTTACGCGAGTACCGATGTTCGACGAGAAGTCGTTACAAATCATTATACTCTGTGACTGACGGACAGATTTTAATGAAACTTTCGGGACATGTAGCAGGCGTCTTCATTGACGAATCAGTCCATGTGGTAGCGTCAGAT